GAGGGGTAAAGAGAAGGAAGGGTTCACACCTCCCTCGCTTTGCTGCTGATCAGTCTTTTTTTCCCCTATAATAGAGGGTTTGGGTACGTTCCACAAACAGCTCACACCTGATTAGTTAAAGGGGATTATACTAATGCAACTCAGAGTGTTGGCAGTCTTAAATCAGCTTTAACTTTACAGGAACATATTAACTGCAGTGATTTATTTTATTTTATTTTGTTTTTTTGCTATCTACAAGTGTGTCCTCAGAGAAGACTGCAGCAGTTCTACTATACTAACTGAAAGCTTTGTAATCTGTATGAGGGGAAACCCCGTGTGTGTGCCAATTGCACACCCTGATCAGAAAAAAGAAAGAAATTCTTTTTTGTGTCTTAATTCAAGCTCAGAGTGACTCACTGAGCAAGTGGCAAGTGGAAGTAGGTTATTTTTTGAGGGGCACCCGCAGGAGGAAGGAACAATTTGCTCCAGATATTGAGGGTGGCAGTTCCTCTTTGTAAAGGTATTGGGAAAGGTAGCAGCACTGGGCTGGAAATGGGGGAATTATTCTGATGTGCAGAGGGAAGAAGGGGAGCAGTGCTGGGGCAGCAGTTGGGCTGGGGATGCTGGTGGATACCTCAGCAGCTACATCACCAGGCCAAAATGTCTGGGTTACTAAAAGCTGCCTACAATTTAGTTATTTGCTTTTTCCAACAAGGAAAATATTATGTCTTGTGGGAAGTCATGAGGATGACTTACCCAAGAACACTGCATAGTTGATCACTAATAATATAAAGTAAGCATCTTTCAAATATTTCCAGCAACATCTGTCCTAGCTTAACTACTGGTTTATGTTGCATTCCTTTATGGAATAATACTCATCTCAGAAAGCAGAGCGTGTGTCACTGCCATCCATTACAAGAATTAAACTTGTGGGATTTTCCTTTTCTGTTAAAGCTGAATTGCCTTCAACCTTTAAAAAATGCTTCCTTCTAATTTTCCAACATTGCATGACCCTGATTCTCCAAAAGTTGGAGTGCTTGCCTATCTAATACTTGGTTTGGATAAAAAGGGAGCAGGGTGAGATACTGATTTTACTCATACTGATGGGAAAATCCAGAAAAATATTCTGCAACTGTTTAGTAGGAATACAAATTTACTTTTCAGAAAAACAAAAAACCAACAAAAAAGCAACTTTGAGCATATGTAGGAGATTAATTAGCCTTGTTCTGCAGAGGGTGAAAGTCAGTATTACACAAAAGTAAAAATAGCAAAGAAGAACGTGAACAGAACTCCTCTAGCTGTGGATGCTGAGGCCACCTGGATGAAGCACGTTTCTCAAGAGCTAAAGTATATTGTGTGCATTAACATAGAAACAAATGTACCAAGTGGGTATTTGTATTAGCATTTGGGAAGAAAACATTTCATTTTTACTGACAAGCACTGCTTTTTTTTTTTTTTTTTTTTTGCAGAAAGAGGAAAAAAAAAAACCACCTTAGGGATTATATAAACTAAAATTTACTATTTTTGCCTAAACCCTAACGTATTTGTTTTACAGTAGAACTTTACAGTACATCCCAGTTGAAACAATTCTAAGTCTGGTAAACTGTAAAAAGAGGGTAACTGAAATGGTGCAGGAGAAAAGTCGAATGGGAGAGAGAAAAGCCCAAATTGTGCAATGTGGCAGATGTTCTGACACAAGATGGAGCCAATCTGTTTCTCTGAGATGGCACCAGCTGAATCAGTCCCATGGCAGCAATTCTATTCATTCATGCAGTTTTCACACACACACATACACAAAAAAAAGAAGGACAAGCAAATCCTGCTGTAAATCTATGGGTTGGGAAAGGGTTGTTTGGCATTTTGGAGCATCAGTGAGCATTCCAGCTTGGTCACTCAACAAAGGAGTGCCCATCTGTATGAGGCAAGGCCTCCCCATGGGGATGCTTGTCCCTGGATGAGCCCAGTTTGCATGCTTGATCTTCTGCATTGATTGTCTGTGCTAACAGCATAAGTTCCCAAACTTCCAGTTGGCACCGAGCTGCCAATATTGTAACCTCTCTGCCCTGTAAAGGCTGCCTTTGGCTACAGAAGTGAGACAAGGGCAGCGAGGAGTGGGATTGAAACAGCACATACAGCTAGGCTTGTTCTTTTTTTCCTCTCTCTCTCTCTCTTTTTTTTTTTTGGTAGATTTGATGCAGACTCTGCAAGTCAGAGATAGCAAGATTGACCTCAAGATACAGAGTTAGTTTCCATAGCAATGAGATCTATGAGTTCTCAAAATATTCAAGCTTCTATTAGGCTAGATAAAAATAATTTCCTTACATAAGGGCGTGCCAGATCTCATCCAGCAAAGCATTTGTTTTTAAGCACGTGAATATCAAGATATTGAAGCTCCATCTGTACCTGGCTATTTTTCTTGCCTGGGGAAGGAATGCTTTTGGGCCAAGTGCCTTTTTGTCCCCAGCTAGCTCTTTCTCAACCCTGCCCAGGATATCTGCTTCCTGCTGTTGAGCCATCTTTAATGCAGACTTTGGATTTTCCATGGGGCAGATCAGTTCCTCTCCATCCTTCCTCCAGTATTCTCCTCAGCTCAAACAGGAGGCATTACAGAGAGAGTGGTGAGGTACAGGAACAGGCTGCCCAGATAGGCTGTGGATGCCCCATCCCTGGAGGTGTTCAAGGCCAGGTTGGATGGGGCCCTGGGCAGCCTGGTCTAGCATTAGGTGGGATGGTTGGTGGCCCTGCATGTGGCAGGGGGGTTGGAGATTCATGATCCTTCAGGTCCCTTCCAGCCCTGGCCATTCTGTGAAATTCTGTGAAATCTGAGACCTGTCACCACATGCTCAGGTACGCTTGCAAAGAGGAAGGAGCTCCTTCTGAAAACACATCTGCTGAATAGAACTGTACTCACAGGAGATTTCGGTCCTTCTTCTTTTGTCTCTTTGGAGAGGACCAGGTGGGCTTTTACAGACATTTCTGATCATGCACTGCGTTTCCTGACCTGAGGTTCTATAGAGTTGTAGTGAGGACAGTGCAAGGGGATGGGAAGTCTGCTGCCCCACACCACACAGAGAACACCACTGTGGCACCATGAAGGAGGTATGCCTGGCAAATCTGTGCATAACATCAAGAAATGCCACAGTCCCCTTAGTTAACCTAATGGAAGTGGGACGGAGCTCATGCAGAACAACACTATGAGGGCAGCTCTGCACAGAAGAAATACATCTTCCAACTTTCTTTTGCAGTTATTCTTCCATAAAAAGGCACTGGTGAGCATGCCTGAGTCAAGCCTTTTTCTAAGCAATGGTACTAAATCATGCAACAACTCCTGAAACTGATCTCTGAGAACACCCTGTTCCATTAGAAAAATCTGAAATATGTTCCTTGTACTCATGAACTTGCCAGTTATTTAGCTTAAAAATGTTTTTCACATATTAGTACTGATTATAAGATTGAAGAGAATTGGGGCTGAAAGGTATGGGAAGGGCAGGAAAAAGGCTCTGTTGAAAGTTATTCCCCTGTATATTACAGAGAGTATTAAAAATAATAATAATAGTGTTAATGAGAATCCCAGCACACCAGGAAAAGCTAATTGAATTTTCCATAAGAGCCCCCCCTTTGTGATATGTTCCATTAGCTAATTGAATGCATTTAATTTATTTGGTTCCAACTTGGGTGTCTTTGTTTACTTGTTCACCTTCCTGTGATGAAAAGCAAATAAAGCATTCCCCAACAGCAAACTGCTGCTTCTTTGATCAACAATCAATTTAAACCAGGATTGCTTTCAAAGTGCTTAATAAGACACATGCTTTATGAGTGCTTTACAGCACCGGCGAAGCTGCAGTGCTGTCTGACTGCTGCTGGCAGTTGCCCAGCGATGATATCCAAGATTTTGTGGTAGTCTTTTTGATGCTGCAGCTTGTCACCAGCCTACGAGAGTCTCAACAACACGCTGCTGTAATAACCAAAATAAGCAGCCAGTTCCTAAAGGTTTCGTAATCCTGGTGCAATGGGAAGCATAGCCATGCTGTAGCATAGGGAGTGATGATAGCTATCGAAGACCAGCTGGCTCATCTGTTCCCAGTAGTGCTGCTGACACCAGAGGTACTGAGATCAGCTCAGAGGAGCTGCCCCAGCACCTGAGGCCAGCAGAGCCCATTACTTTGCTGAGCAGGGGCAGGACAGACTTTGGTAGCCCTGGGAGCAGGTGGCATGTGTGGCAACCCACTGTGGGAAGACGTACTTCAGTCATCCCCCACTGATTCCCAGGCTAGCTATAGGGAATTTAAGCATTTCCTGTTTTCCACTGAAGTTCATTGCCTTGCACTCATTAATACTCTATTTTCCAGTGGGAAATTCCAGGGGGAAAGAGAGGAGGTGAAGCAAAACCCCTTGAGCTCTCCTTCTCCATATGCCCCCAGTCCTTCTCACCTCTTCATCTTTAACCTAGGACTCCATTATGAACGCCTCAGTAGTCAAAGCTCTTGGCTGTGGTGAACCTCTTGAAGTCTTATGTATTGCTAGCACAATGCAATCTCTTTTCACCTACATGGTTTTGCTAGAATAACTCTGCCAGTCCCATAAAGGCTTTTTCTACAGTCACTTTACAGTTTCTGTAACAAATTCTCAGCTGAAGATGATTGTTGCTAATCATCACTTTATAAACCTGTGATGTATTAATGAAAGTAACTGGAGAAATTTCATCAGAAACTAAATGGGCTTCTGTGAAACAGGACTCTCTCTTCAAAGGGGTTTAAATATTCCCCTGAGACCTCTTCTAGCTGCTTGAAATGCATTGTACTTCAATGCTGGAATACTTTTATTGGTTTATGACAAAATATTAGCTAAACATTGCATTCTCAATGGTTTCTGAAGCACAGGGTGCCAGCAGTAAATTTATGTTAGATCTGTTAAGCTTCAAAGTCAAGTATGCCAATAACTTGCCTACTCCAGGCGTTCCTGAAGAGCATCCTTATACAGTAGCAACTAGAACATATTTTCAATAATTAATAAGTGGTTACCATGGACTTTGGTATCGGTGTGTTGCTTGATCTTCAGCAGCCTGCCAGATCTGTCCTCTCTGTAAAAGAGAAACAGAATCAAATTATGTACAGTGTTAACCTTAAGGTATTATTCTCCGGTAGGACCAGGTCCATTTAAGTGGAGATGTGACAAAGGAACCAGAGATAGTGGAAAATAACAATCATCTCTTGCTTTCATATTGTGCATAGACTGCAGAGATGGTGAGCTTGGCTGCAGTTTGACACCTTTAAATTTTTGGAAAGAGTTATCTAGAGAGGTAATAAAATGTCACTTAGAGAAACGTCGCCCTGCAGTTGTTTGCTGTTATTTTTTTAAGCAGAAGGACAGTTGTTGGAAAGGTAAGGGATTGTTTTAAAAGGCATCGAATGGCCATAACTCAGAAACAGAAGGGGTAATACCAAAAGTGCATGACAAACTGCCTCTGCAATCATGAGGCACAAGGCAGATAGGACAGCAGATATCACTGCTAAGTATGTCATGTTCATCAATAAGAAGTTATTTTTTAAACTTCACTTGCTGAGTGAAATAGCCACATGCATTACACTTGCCCTGGGGAGAGAAGCAGCATGGCACAGTGCATTTGCCAGCAGCATCCACCCTCTAGGCAGTCTTTATATGATCTCCTGTCAGGTTGTATGAGAGCAGGGTGGTGTTGCAGCCCAACTAAAACCATTACACAGAGACAGTTGTATAGGCACTGATGCACGGACCCCAGCACACAGCTTTATCCCATTTGCTGAGATGGACTGGAGCTTTACAGCATGTCTGTGGCTGAGAGGAGGACACGAACCCCCTTCCTACCCCAAGGGCTTCAGGCTGCAGCAGTGGGGACATTTATCACCACATCGCTATGAGTAACATTTTTTTGCAGGGTGTTTTCTTCCCTGATAAGGCATGTAGAGAGATAATGGGAGCATGTGGCAGCTTTCTTTATCAGAGATGCCATGGAGATAAACCAGAGCTGTTCTGTGGGCTTCTCTGGAAGACACAAGCAGTGTGCAGACTCTTGAAAAAGGAGCAGCAGCAAATTACTGTGAAAACTTTAATCAGGTTTGATTCTTCTGTGCTGTTTGCACAGAAGGGAGGTGATTCCTGCTTTGGGGAGGTTGATTCTCCCAAGTTACCCTTGCCTAAGGCAGCTTGAAGAACAGAACTCCTCCAGGCATATCCATCCCATCTGCACCAGTTGTATGTGCGTGGTCTCCAGCACACAGCATCAAGTATCACAAACCAGCTGGATTCATATTGCTGTAGGGGGCAAGAGCACGAGTCCCCAGCACCACCTGCCCCATGGTGGTGGGTGTTTCTACATCTGGAGAGGCAGTATAGCTGTTTTAGGAAAGTGTGAGCTACGTCAAGGATCAAGGGGTGTTGGTGAACCAGAAGGCCAGAGCAATAAGCTAACCAGCTTCCGAAATTAGAAGCTATGAAGCATATTTAATCCAGCTGTTGCAGCAGTGACAACTTTACAGTGATGATGGCAAGGATCTGCTAGCTGAGTCAGCAGCCTACTTGCTCCAAATATAAGGTATTTGTTTTCAGTTCTTCTCCTCTGCTGTGGCCACTGAGGGTTACAGAGTGGTTGATTTGCCTCCTCGGATGGATTTGGCATTTGGTCACCCTGCAAAGCTCTCTATCTCAGGAGATGGCTGATCACTGCAGAAGGACATGGGTTGCTATTTTTTGGTACAGTATTATCAAATCAGTGTTTTAAGGGGTTTTGAGTCTGTGGACGTAGCTGTCACAGCAGCAAGGACAATTCAAAAAGAATAAACTGGATGAAAAGTCAAGAAAAAAAAAAAGGCAAAACACAAACTAAGGGGATTGTTACTCTTTGGGTGTAGCCTGGGGCTGATCAGGAAACAGGTGTGGAAAATGACTGCAATTAGACGTAACAAACCAAACTCCACACCTGTTTGTGACTAGCAGATGCATCTCCCATTCAGCTACATGATATGTAGGTTTCCTTAGTACTAGTAAGGTCTTAAGCTGAGCTGTGAACGTGTATGATATGTAGCTGAGGGGGGAAGTTGCTTCACTAGAGTAATTGCTCAACAGGAGCGTGAGAACTTAGTGCAGTGAGGCTGCATGGCACAAAAGACAGCTCTCCTTGGAGGCGAAACAGCAGAGCAAAACTGTACCAAAAAACCCAACAGATATAATTGGAAAAAAAGGAAAAGCATTGTGAGAACTGTTTCAAAATGTTATTTTTTGTTTTGTTTTCAAGTAAAAACGAGTGATTTTGGTTTTCCAACAGTAGAAAAATATTTTTGGTTTTGTTTAGCCAAAATATTTCCTTCTCTGTGTTTTGAAGTTCATTGGCCACATGCAAATAATGGGTTCTTTCATGCTTTTTTGCAAAGACAAAGAGAGTATCTGTGCTGTCTGTTGATCGTTTTAACTAAAGAATTCCCTTTGCATTTATTCTAGCTGATTGTTGTCTTTTTTTCTGTCAGAAATGTTACTGTATTATTTATCTTGTAAAGTTCCCTGTACTACAAAATAACGTTTATGTCTTTACAAAGGCATTATTTTAAACATCGTCTAGAGAAATCACCCCCAAGAAACCAAAAGCATTTGTCTAAGAAGAGAGTGCGTTTGTTTGGTGCAATCAAGGAGGTATAAATAAGGGCTGCAAAGTGTCATCTCTATGGTGACAACATTGAGGCCATTGTTCAGCATGTAATGTGCTTTCATTTTTCAGAAATTTGGGGGTGTTAACTCCAGCAGAAGCATTGTGAGTTAAGAATTAGCACTTTGTATGACATGTTTGAAAGCCTTGCTCTGATGAGGCTGGTTGTCTTAGATGTGCTTACTTATAGGGTCTCAACAGTGCTTCTATCAAAGAAAGGAAAATGAAAGCATAAGCACTGGATTTTAGCTAAAATTGGTTAAAGATTGTATGATAACTAATGAACTAAAAGCTTAATTTTTCCATTAAACTGTTCTAAAAGCTGTTTACTACAACTAAACAATGCAGGTTGATGACTTTTATTATTATTATTCTGTGTTGACAATGCTTAGATGTTTGAGAGAGCTGGAATCTATATCTGCTATTGATTTCATGTGGCAAAAATGATTCTGAACCACTTTCGTAGTACAGAAAGCCTACTTGGCATACAAAGTAGGCTATAAAATCTGTAAATTATTAAAAACAAACAAAAAATCCAGCCTGTTCTGCACTCGAAAGTTCACTCTATATTGGAGAGTTCACTTTGTTAGTAGGCTGCTGCTGCAGGAAAATCCCAGTTCTATTGCAGTACACCTAACTGCTCTGTGCCACCTGGGGAAGTAGGGGGCAAGGCTGGAGGATCTGGGATTAGCTGAGCAAAGCTCAGTGTCTGCCCCTCTTCTGTATCAGGAAGTTTTATGGAGCTTCTTCCAAAACTTGGAAACCTAAAGTCTCCTGGCTCTACTACTGGAATTTACACTGTGTGGTGGTTCATGCTATTGCCTTTGGGATATACTTACTGATGTCAGACAGCTCTTTCCTAAATAGCTGCTACTTCCTAAGACTAGACATCAAGGGATGTGGGCCTGGCAAAGAGTGGCATCAGGACCCTGAACTTTGGAAGAGCAAACTTTAAGCTGTTCAGTGGGTTGTTGGCCAAGATCCTCTGGGACGCTGTCTTTAAAAACAAAGATGTTGAGGAGAGCTGGCTACTCTTCAAGGATGCCTTCCTGAGAGCACAAGAGAGTGCTCTTATTCCATTCCTCTGAATAAGAAAGCGGGCAGAGGAGGCAGGAAACCAGAATGGCTCGGTAAGGACCTGCTGGGCAAGCTGAGGGCAAAGAAAGGTGCGTACAAGCTCTGGAAACAAGGGCATGTCACCTGGGAAGAATATAGGGATGCCAACTGGACTTGCAGATGTGGGATCAGGAAAACCAAGGTGCAGGCAGAACTGAACTTGGCGAGGAACGTGAAAAACAACAGGAAGACTTTCTACAGGTACATTGGCCAGAAGAGACAGGCCAAAGCGAGTGTACCTCCTTTGGTAAATGTAAAAGGAGAACTGGTTTCAATGGACGGAGAGAAGGCTGAGGTATTGAATGAGCTCATTGCTTCTGTCTTCACTGGCAACCAGGTTTCTAATATTTCTCATTTCTCTGCATCCCTAAACCTCTGGATAGGGACCGGGGCGATAAATTTCCCCCCCACTGTAAGGGCAGAGCAGGTCTGAGACCGCCGCATGAGACTGAATGTGTACAGGTCTATGGGGCCGGATGGCGTGCATCCCAGGGTTCTGAAGAAGCTGGCTGAGGTGGTTGCCGAGCCGCTCTCCATCATATTTGAGAAGTCGTGGCTGTCAGGTGAGGTCCCGGGTGACTGGAAGAAGGGTCACATCACTCCCATTTACAAGAAAGGGAGCAAGGAGGACCCTGGGAACTACAGGCCAGCAAGTCTCACCTCTGTGCCTGGGAAGATCATGGAACAGATCCTCCTGGATGACATGCTTGATCACATGAGG